GCTTTGTATTGAGCATGGATTATGGGACTTGCAGTACCTTCGCTCAATTCCTGAGACCACTGCAACCATCAGTCAATTACCGATAAAGACCAAACTTAGCACACGAGTCTCCATGATGCACTCTACATCCTGTTGCGGTTTGGAGGACGATGCACCATGGACGATGGGACTTGCAGTACCTTCACTCACTTAGTGAAACCACTGCAACCCTCATCCAAAGACTGATGAAGACCAAACTTGGCACACAGAGCACTCATGGCCAACTCAACATTCTGGTGAGGTTTGGGGGAGAACAGACTATGGATGATGGGACTTCAAGTACCTCCATTCACTTCCCAAGACTGCTGCAACCCTCATCTAATGACCGCTGAAGACCAAACTTGGCACACAGAGCCCCCATGAGTGACTCTTCATCCTGGTGCTTTTAGGAGGAGGACGGACGATGGATGATGGGACTTGCAGTACCTTAACTCACTTTCTGAAACCACTGTGACCCTCATCCAATGACTGTTCAAGACCAAACTTGCCACACAGAGCCCCCATGACCCACTCTCCATCCTGGTGCGGTTTGGAGGATGGACCGATGATGGGACTCACAGTACATTCACTAACTTCCTGAGACCACTGCGAGCCATATAAATAACTGATAAAGACCAACCTTGATATACAATTCCTTTCTCAAATAACCCGGGCAGCGCCGGGTTCCCAAGCTAGTATATAATAAAAGTCAAAGTTTGTATGTGTGGGAGGACGGAGGGAGGACGTAGGGAGGACGTAGGGCAGAAGAGTTTGTGCTAGCTTTCTGATTGGCTGCCACTATGCTGCTATTTGCATATGGTCTCTGATTGGCCAGCTTCAATAGGAGCCCCTGGTGGAGAAAAGGGTTCATGACAGAAACGGAGACATGAGAGAGGGAAATTTGCATATGGTCTCTGATTGGCCAGCCTCAAATCCAAGATTCCGAGATGAGAAAGAGAGGAAAGGAAAGGCCGGGGGCTGGGTCAGAACACTACCAATACAGACCGAAATAGGCACACAGAGCCCCCAGCACCCACTCTACATCCTATTGCAGTTTGGAGGACTATGAACCATGGATGATGGGACTTGCAGTACCACCACTCACATTCTGAGACCGCTGTTAACCTTATCCAATGACTGATCAAGACCAAACTTCGCACATAGACCTCTCATGACCCACTTTACGTCCTGGTGTGGTTTGGCCGGGGATGGACCGTGGATTATGGGACTTGCAGTATCATTGCTCAATTCTTCAGACCACTGCAACCCTCATCCAATTACCAATAAATACCAAACTTGGCACACTGAGTCTCCATGACGCACTCTACATCCAGGTGCAGTTTGAAGGAGGATGCACCATGGACGATGGGACTTGCAATACCTGCACTCCCTTCCTAAGACCATTACAACTGCCAACGATGATGGATCAGGAACACAATTTACACAGAGACCCACCATGACCCACTCTACATCCTGGTGCAATTTGGAAGAATTTAACAATGGATGATGTGACTTGCAGTCACTTCACTCACTTCCTGAGACCACTGAGACCCTCGCCAATGACTCATCAAGACTAAACTTGGCACATGGAGCTTCAATGACCCACTCTACATCCTGGAGCAGTTTGGAGGACGACAGGCCATGGATGATGGGACTTCAAGTACCTCCACTACCCAACACTGCTGCAAAACTCATCTAATGACCAATCAAGACCAAAGTTGGCACACAGAGCCCCCATGACCCACTCTAC